AAAAGCAGTCGTGGTACTGCCCCTGCTTAGCCGCTATATTACTTTTAACATTATTATCCATATTGGACATCTATGCCTACTTTTATATTAATCAAATCTTATTTTCTTTTCAACCATAACAAACTAAAAACGCATAATATGACGACATTGATCATAAACCCGGTAACCACTACTGTGGGGTTAAACAACTCACTGTTGCTTGTTGTTGAAAATATGCACCATTGCACTAGTGACAAGATTGTTTGAATGCACAGTTGTTATTATACGCTAGGAAGATTCTTTTAAACTATGGAAAATAATTCTGCCTAATGTACTGCACACGAAAATCATATCAAAGCATTTAATGACGATCTGGTATATTGAGATTGAATTGACATATAAATAAAAACGTTTATCTTAAAAAAATCCTGACAATAGTCGTGGACATTTTCTAGTATTTACTAGAATGATCCATTCTAATGCACTATTTTCTCATTGTCACATTGTAATAGACCAATATGATGCTAGACTGGCGTGTTTTTCTGTGCATGCGTATGGGTGTATGGACATTGTTTATGACTGACATTGTCTTTTGATTTATTTATCAGCAGCAGAACGGTTTATTCAAGTACAAGACGATGTTTCGGTATACCACTGCAATTCAACTCATTTTCCTGTTCATTTGGGTAAGCTTCATACCGTCCAATATGATGTCATTAGTTTTACATGAACATTTCATTTATTTTACTGATATGATGCATTGCTTTGGTATATCAACGTAATTCATCTCATTTCACTGTTCAATTGGATACGATTCTTATTGCCCAAATATGATGTCATTGCAATGGTATATCAACATAATTCTTCTCATTTCACTGTTCAATTGAATAAGATTCTTATTGTCCAAATATGATGGCATTGCTTTGGTATGTCAACATAATTCATCTCATTTCACTGTTCAATTGGATAAGCTTCTTATTGTCCAAATATGATGGCATTGCTTTGGTATATCAACATAATTCATCTCATATCACTGTTCAATTGATAACCTTCTTATTGTACAAATATGGTGTCATTGCTTTGGTATATCAACGTAATGCATCTCGTTTCACTGTTCAATTGGATTATATTCTTATTTTCCAAATATGATGTCATTGCTTTGGTATATCAACATAATTCATCTCATTTCACTGTTCAATTGCATAAGCTTCTTATTGTCCAAATATGATGTCATTGCTTTGGTATATCAACATAATTCATCTCATATCACTGTTCAATTGATAACCTTCTTATTGCACAAATATGGTGTTATTGTTTTGGTATATCAATGTAATTCATCTCATTTCACTGTGCAATTGGATAAAATTATTATTGTCCAAATATGATGTCATTGCTTTGGTATATCAATGTAATCTCATTTCACTGTTCCTCTTATTGTACAAACATGGTATCATTGCTTGGTATATCAACGTAATTCATCTTATTTCAGTGTTCAATTGTATAAGCTTCCTAGTTTATCCAGATGTGTAATGGTTTGGCATTTCAGCGAATTTGATCTTGTTCATTTCGAAAAAGCTTCCCATTGTACATATATTAAGGTATAGGTATGGCATTTCGTTGTAATTAATCCCGTTTCACTACTCAATTGGACAGGCCTCATATTGTATACAGATTATGTTATAACTTTTGTATGTCTGTATAATTAATCTGATCTTCTTGTTCATTAGGGGAATCTACACAATGTACACTTGGGAAAGCTGTACTAATAAGATGTAATTGGTTTGGTATACCATTGTAATGCAATACATTTCCCTGTTCAAATGACAAAGTCTTATATTCTACAAAGATCACTTTATATGCTTTATATCAATATGTAAATCGTATTATTTCCTTTTAATTCCTGTTTCACATTGTATTTAGGCGGTGGCAAGACTATTCATTCATTGGTCAGTTTCTTTTATGACTAACTATTCACTAATTGGTCAGCCCACTTCGCTTCAAACTATTGACTAATTGGTTAGTTCACTTGTTGCAAGCTAATTGATGACGGACACCCCTTTATTGCAAGTCTATTCATATATTGGTCTGTTCTATTTATATCAAGCATAATCATGTGTTAGTCCCCTGCATTGTAGGTCAACTCATTGGTTGGTCACACACATCGCTACAAGTCTATGAACTAATGGGTTAGCCTGATTTGTTGTATGTCTATTTACTTTGTTAAACCCTGTTGGATCAAGCCTACTAGCAGCCACTAATAGGTCACACCTTTCGTAGTAGTTTTCTAGTATTCACTGATTAGTCAGCCCCTTTTAACAAGCCTACTAATGCTCACTAATTGGTCGGCCCCTTCTGTAACAAGTCTAGTAGTGTTCACTAAGTAGCTCACTTAGTTTTAATTCAATACACTAATTCGTTACCGCACGTCACCACATATATATTCACTAATTATTATCTACTTCTACTTCTACAAGCCTATTTACTAATGTGTCAGTCCCCCTTCGTATAGAATATTTTCATTACTTGGTCCCCGCAATCTGCTGCAAGCCTACACGCTAATTGGTCAACCTCTTTCACAACAGCTCCCTTCATTGCAAGCCTCTTCAGTATTTAGTTAAAATGGTATTCTTTATCCCTTTTTAAAACCCAGATTTCAAGTGAAAAAATCACTGCTTATGATTACATAGGATGCTTT